ATTAAAAATGGTTTTGGTTCATGATCTGGTTCATGATCTGTATTTCCCAATTCAATTTTGCAGTCTGCTTAACTGCTCTCTTCACTCCCCAATGACAGGACTCAGGTATCAATTTTAATTTTGCAAATCTCGTCCCATTTCATTTATAAAACCATACTCCCAACGATAAGAGACTAGTGGTATGCATAGATAGGGTGATTCGGATTTAGTCATTTTAATCACTCAGTCCATACACTTTAATTTTGAAATACTAAATTCAAACTCACTCAAAAAATTTAGAACCTTACGATTTGTTTATAATTCAAAGTTCTTATTCATTATAAGCTAGTACATCCATAAAATGTCATATTGCCAAAATTGTTCTAAAATAATATCAAAGTGGATATCATTTTAAAGAGCACAATTAATCTGATTTATCTGTGCAAAAAAAATTTATTAAATTTCGACTTAAAACGAGAAAGAAATCGTCCTTTAAAGATTAAAAGGGAAAAGATAAAAGACAAAATACACTTGTATAACCATAACTTTCACTTTTGTGACAAAAATAGCCATAACTATCCGAAAACACAAAATAACCCAAAAATTGTATGGTAGTGTATTGACAAATCTACCTATTTCCACTAGAAACTTTAAAGGTGTTAGAACTCCGTCAGTTAAGTTAACATTAGGCTAACTAGGATGTCTAATCATCGCACACGTCATCAACCAGTCATCATATCATTTGCCATGTCATTTTAAGTTATAAAACAATTTTGAAATAAAAAAAAATTTCTTCTTCTAATTTCCCCCCTTCCCTGCGAATAGCGAATTGCATTCTCCCCCATCGCACCACTGACCCACCTACCATCTCCATTAATAGACTGCAAATAATCCACGGAGCTTTTGTTAGTGACCCCCCGGAGCTCTTGTTAGCGACCCGCCGGAGCTTGGTGACAAAGTGGAAAGCTGACTGAATCGAGCGGCGACGGAATGAATGAGGACAAGCCCAGAGCTCGAAGTCGAGATTCTTTCGAAAAAACCTAATCCCACTAAGTAACCTAAACCCAATCAACACCCCAACTCCCTCTCTCAACTCACATCCAATGGCAACAGCAAGAAGCTAGGGACCGCCATGATTTTGGTAGCAGCGCTGCTGATGTACGAACCAGTCTTGGCTATGCTCGCTCACACCGTTCCACATCTCGTCTCCATTCTTCGGGTAGTGACTCCACCGACTGCTAGGAGTCCACTGTTCTTCAGGAAGCTTCACGAGATCGATGAGCTGAAAGTGACCAAGAGGGAAAAGCCAGAGCTTGAGTCTTAGATCTCGGAACACCTCGATAAAACCCAACTACCGTGATGAGAAGATACAATCAAATAATGCCAAATCCTCGCCTTCATCTGTCGATTTCGTAAGAGGTGGGGGAATCGTCACCGCATAAATCACTTGTTGGAGGAGCTGATATTCTCCTGCCATCGCGACGACACTAAGGATTATTTCCCTAAATACAGTGAAAATTAAAAGTAATTCCCACAATACATCACTTTTATAAATATTTCCCAAAATACCAAAGTTTGAACCGGTTCGAGTTTAACAAACTCGAACTAGTAAGCAGATCGATTGTCAAAGGATCGATCCACGTACATCGAGTGAAACAGTCGCGATTGGCTGGAACAGGACGATGCGGATCGAGTGTAGTAAACTCGATTTGCATGGATCGAGTACAGTACACTCGAACTGGTTGACATGGATCGCTGACATAAGCAGCGCTCCACCCTAGATCGAGGTAGGGAGAATCGAACTCCACCGTTCGATGGCCAAGTCCGCGATTTAGTGGCGACGCGGATCGAGTGGGGAAAAATCGGTGCACGTGGATCGAGCTCCCTGGAATCGATCCAATTGACGCGGATCGATGACGTCAGACCCGCTCCACCGTAGATCGAGTTTGCCAAACTCGATCTGGCCGTTCGATTAGCCTGCACTCGAACTGTTTTTGACGCGGATGGAAGGCCAAAAAATCGAGGCAGTGGTTCGAGTCCCCTAAACTCGATCCACCTCAACCACCTGCACCTATAAATTCCCCCTCCCTTTCCACCAAATCCCACACCACTCCATTCTTCTTCCTCTATTCCTCCCACCACTCTTGAAGAAAAAAATATGCTCTGTGGTTGCGGCTAAGCCCGATCTTCCGCATTAGATTTTTTTTCTTTAGTTTGGTACTTCTATCACTCAAAATTGCCGAGATGGATCCGAGTATTTACGATCCTAGATTATACATTCAAGGCGGACCGCGAGAAATCGATTTGTTGGATGAGCAACCTTACCATCGGTCTGAAAGTGTTTGGGCGGCAGATCCGGTAAGCACTTCCTCATTTACTTTTCTTTTTTTAAATGTGATAGTGTTCTTCTAATTTTTTTTGTATAATAATTAATTTTTTTTTTCTGCAGGAACAACTTGACGTAATCACCCATCGGTCGCTATCTCGCTTGCCTAAATGGGATGATCGTATCGAGCCCTTCATTGAAAGAGCGCGATTGCTGAGGGTGCGAAAGTTTGTGGGATGGAGATGGACAACAACCTTCTTACGGCGATGGTGGAAAGATGGAGAAAAGAAACGCACACATTCCACATTCTAGAGGGAGAGATGACGATTACGTTGAAGGACGTAGCCATGCTGACAGAGCTTCCTATCGATGGTGATGCAATAATAGAAAGTTCATAGAAACCATTGAATGGTTGGGGCCAATTTATAAGCGAGCGTTTAGGTATCAACATCCCCGAGGAAGCACAAGAAGGTCGTCGTGTACCACCTCTACAAAAGTCTATGTTATTGATACCTTGGCTAGTGAGGACCGTTGGGGAATTACCAGAGGATGCCACGGATGCTCAGATAGAGAGGTATGCTCGCATCTACCTTATTTGTTTGGTTGGAGGATTTTTGTTTCCGAACAAGTCTGGTGGAAATATGCATTGTATGTGGCTTCGAGTTCTTTTGGAAGATTGGGACGAGATTGGGAGAAAAAGTTGGGGATCTGCTTGTTTGGCGATGATATATTCGGAGTTGTGCAAGTGTACGGATCCGAAAACAAAGCAAGCGGGTGGTCCCATGTTCATCCTCCAACTATGGGTTTGGGAGCACCTTCCTACTTTCGCTCCGATCTGCCCTGCCAACAGTTGGGGTCCCGATGAGCCACTACGACAATGGGCTTATGGTGCTAGATGGATTGGAGCTATCACGAGTGGCACCTCTCTAGACGGGTACCGCCAACATCTTGACCGTCTAGAATTCAACGAGGTAACATTCTAGCTTATGATTATTTATTTCTAATTTATTTGTTGAAGTTATTTGTCTTAGCCTTAGCCCATTATTTATTTTTATGATTATAGATGAGATAGGCATTGCACGAAGACCAACATACAAACCATTGAGGCACTCACCCATGTTCGTTGTTGTTATTCCATACCTATACCCTTCGTCTTGATGTAACGTCCACCTCTCATAAGGATGAGTTTCTAGCCAATCTGCACCTTCAGAGTGGACCTCCCTTATGCTCTTCATTTTTTCTACAAACTTTCGAGTCTGAAAAGCAATAGCTACAATAAAGCAAAATAAGGTTAGTAAAGGAGTATACGCATTCAACCAATTGATATAATCACAACATCTTATTTGTTCTTACCAGCGTGCCAAACTGCACGTTGTCCATAAGTTCTACCAAAGTGCTTCCCGTAATTGCTTTTGAAATGTCGTATGCACCAGCGCCACTTCCACCCTAGCTCCTCGGGCAGGTCGTAGAAAGCATGTCTAATTCCATGGTGTCGATCAGAAAGTATGGCAATGTCCTTCCGTTGAGTGACACGAGTGTATAGTTGGGGGAAAAACCATGCCCAACTTAAGTTGTTCTCCGATTCGACTATAGCAAAAGCAAGGGGGAAAAGTTGCATACTGCCATCAACACTAGTGGCAACGAGTAGAGTTCCCTTGTATTTGCCGGTCAGAAAGGTGCCATCAACTTGGATTATTGGCAGACAATGGGTGAAACCATCAATGCATGGTTTGAATGCCCAAAATAGTCTCTTAAACACGCGTTTAGCACCTCCATAGAAATCTTCGTAACTAGGCACAAAAACAGACCCAGGATTCTTGTCCTCCATTGCAAGAATCAAACGAGGCATGTTAGCAAATGACTCTTCCCAATCACCATACACCTCTGCCATAGCTTTTTGCTTCCCATGCCATGCTTTCTTGTAACTGATGGTATAGCCATGTCGATTCTTCACTTCAGCGATGACACTCTTCACGGTGATCCCAGGTTGTGCCTCAATCAGATGTTTGATTGTTTGTGCAACCTTCCTTGCACTCAATTGTCGGTGATCTAGAGAAATCAGTGACGACCTACAAGTGTGGTTGTTGTCTGTCTTACGAATGAGCCAAGCCCCATTTCTTTTAACATATGCCGCCCGAACATGCCACATGCATCCGTCGCCATGGTTCTCGCAACGAACATGAATTTGTTTCGTGTCAGAAGTGATGACACGATATTGAAAGCTTCTTCCCATAGCAGTTTCTTTCAATGCATCGACCACCTGTGGCTTTCCTGCAAATGTTTGGCCAACCACAAATCCAGAGTCAGGAGTCCAGATTGGTATAGGAGGGAGGTCAGGATCGTCGTTGTGAGCATAGAGAGGATGTTGTGGCACCATCGTGTAGTGAGGTGTGGGGGGGCTCAAATTCCCCCTCGTCAACTTCCAGATCTTCACCATCTGAACTACTCATTGATTCTAACTCTTCGTCTTCCACGTCGCTTGCTTCGCTAGTGTACGGAGGACTTGGTTTATCCACATATGGATCATTGTTGATGCCAGATGCTGGTGTAGATGCTTGTCTGGGTGACTGTCTGGGTGCCCTTATGTAATCCCATTTTCCACCCCATACTGGCCAATCCTGTCCGTCATGTTCCACCAATGGACCAGCTGCAGTTCGATCCTCGTATGTTGGCCATGGTGCATCATGCCGCACCTGAAATCTCCTGAACCGGAAAAACCTCCCGATCCTTCACCTTGTTCGGTATAACCGCCCCCACCATATTGGCCAACAACTTCTGTCTCGACATACACCTCAGCAGTTGGAAATCTGTTCTCTGCAATAAATCTCACCATCATATTAACATCATCATCGTCAGACAAAACTGACCCTTCATATACAAGTGCATAATCCTTGTAAACCGGCATACGGTAAGTCATCTTGCATACTCTTCTCCCTCCTATGCAACATCGTTCCGCACAAATATGGCTGAGTTCTTGCCAAGTAAATATGCTCTTAATCGGGACAGTACTTGATTCACCATCTTCGTAGTCAATACTATCATGAAAATGTGTAATTCGACCATTCCACCGAATCAATAAGTCGAATTTTCGAAAATTTCTACCCATTTCTGCAGTTTATAGAAGCAGCTCATTACATACAGTACAAACAATTCTAAATTAATCCAAAATTCTAATATGCTCATTCAAACAACGTAAGCAGAACTTACCTCCAAAAATTCTCTTCTTTGCTGAGCTATGGTGCTCCAGCTGCTGCAGTTTGTGTTTGGAAGAAAGAAGATAGAAAGTAAAAGAGCTGCCAGAATGTGCTAAGTGAGGGATTTTTATCCTCGTAAACTGATGCAGTGGTTCGAGTCCAAAACACTCGAACTACACTAGTTCGAGTTCATTAAACTCGATCTACGCTATCCAATAATTTTCCCCTGCACCTTATTCTGGAGCATGTCGGACCGAAAGCGACGAGACAGAATGATTGAGCAAGTAGTTCGAGTTTAGTATAATCAAACCACACTAGTTCGAGTCCCTAAAACTCGATCTATGATAACAAAGAATCTTATCCCTGCAACCCTATCCTGAAGCATGTCGGTGGGCCAGTGGTTCGAGCCTTTTGGAATCGATTTACCTTGTTCGAGTCATAGGGCATCGATCTAGTGCAGATAAAGATCGGGTGCATTAAAGTCGTTGCACTACATCGAGGTTCTAGCCGTCGATCTAACTAAATCGAGTTGTCCATACTCGATCTACTGAGATCGAGTCCTTTGTCATCGATCTACCGAGATCGAGTCTTTTATCATCGATCTATGTTGTTCGAGTTTGTCATCGTCGATCTAGTTTGTAGTTCGAGTCCCATAAACTCGAACTCTTTGAAACTTGGGTAGTTTGGGAAAATTTTATAAAACTTATGTATTCTGGGAATTATGTATAATTTTTACTGTATTCAGGGAATTCTTCCCGACACTAACTGGGCATTTCTTCTCGCCGCCCGGCAAACTCCCTAGCCAGAACCGATTGCAAGTTCTGGGAAATGGTGCTAGAGGAGATGAATGGTTGGGGAGAATTTGAGAAGATTGAGAACGACGCTTGAGAAGATAATGATAAGTAAGATTGAACGCCTCTAGCTTCTTCTCTGAAACCCTGAAGAGTCGAATCAACTACATTCGTCGGAACTCAAATCAAGGGCAGCAAGTTTGGCCTTCCATGGTGGCGACATCTGAGAGGTTTCGAGCATTTTGGGTTTCTCAATCGGCTCGTGGCGGCAACCATAGAGGAGGAGATGGCGGAGAGTGGACAAGTGGGAATGAGGTGTTTGTGATGAAAAAGTGGTAGAGAGCGGCAGAGAGAGTAAGAGAGAGCATCAGTTACAAAGGGAGACCACCATCACCATTGCAGCGGAACATGGGAGGGAAGATCAAGTTCTTAGGGGGTGGGGTGCGGTGGAGAGATGAGCAAGAAGAGAGAGGTGAGAAAGAATAAAAAATTTAATTAATTTATTTTTATTTTGTTTTCAGTTAATTCCACCTCATATTATTATTGAAAAATATCGTCAACTCAGCATTTTCCGTTAGTCTAGTCATACACTCATACTGTTAGATGACACCATTAAAGAGATGGACGAAATTGGATATTTTGTATTTTCGGATAGTTATGGCTATATTTGTCACAAACGTGAAAGGGCTCAAGATAGGGTGCATAACCATGGGTTATGCACCCATAAATAACCAAATCTGGACCCTTCATTTAGAAAATCCAGATCTAAGGATGGAGAATTAAAGACTATTTTTATTTTCATTAGCTTTCTTAATTGACTCATATCTTTTTCGTTTTAACTCGGATTTTAATTTTTTTTGCACAGATGGAACGAGTTCACCGTGCTCTACAAAATGAGATCAATTTTCAATAGTTTTTTAGGAAAAAAAAATTTTGGCCTCTCGATACCAACTGCATACCATATGGTATCTTCTTCGTTTTTAATTCGTTTTTGAAAACGTTTGCACAGCAGGGATGAGTTCATCATGATCTACTGGATCTACAAATTTCTGGGTGAACAAATTACAGGACCAAAAAATACCACATAATACCATACAATACCACCCTGGTACCGGGTGGTATTGTATGGTATCTTCTTCGTTTTTAATTCGTTTTTGAAAACGTTTGCACAGAAGGGACGAGTTCATCATGATCTATTAGATCTACAAATTTCTGGGTGAACAAATTACAGGACCAAAAAATACCACACAATACCATACAATACCACCCTGGTACGGGGTGGTATTGTGTGGTATACAATGTTAAAAGTCGTAAATTACAATTAATATACTTCTACTATCATGTATTCAATCATCCTACAGTATTGGTTTGTTCATATCACCATGGTACGTTTTTCAAAACATAGGTATGTTTTTATTTCAATACCAGTCAATACCATATGGTATAGGCTGGTAAAAAATGGCTCAATTTTTTTTGTTCGAAAAATATATTAAAGTGGATATCATTTTGAAGAGCACAATTAATCTGATCTAACTGTGCAAAAAAAATTAAATTTCGACTTAAAATGAGCGAGAAATCATCCGTCAAAGATTAAAAAGGGAAAAATTAAAGGCTTTCCATGAGAGAGAGGATGCTGATGTCATGCTGATGTGGACGGGTTACTCATGGTTACTCACCATAAGGTTACTGACCTGATCCATTCCCACGCGAAAGTTATGGCTATACAAGTGTATTTTGCCAAGATAAAAGGCTTTCCATGAGAGAGGGATACTGATGCAATGCTGATGTGTATGGGTTACTTATGGTTACTCACCCTAAAATTACTAACCTGATCTGCTCCCCTCTCCCACGTGTTTACGGGGCTGAGCTCGCTGATTTGCTTCCAAAGTTGATCAACTTGCTGCTCAAACTGATATGATGAGACTTGCAATTTTAAAACTTGAGAACAATAAACCAAGAATTGAAAATCGTATCAAAGGTTATATATGAAAAGTTAGCAATATAGTATTTTATACTGAAATTGTGCTTTAATTGTGGTTCGGTCATTTCATATAGCTCAATACCGCCTACCATTTAGCCTTTGATAAGATTTCAATCGAAACACCAGAATAGTACGATTTTCAATCCTTACAATGAACACTTAAAATCGAAAATGGCAAATTCTTGGATGCATACATTCAAAGGTATGATGTACTTTAAAGACCAAAAAATAAAAACAAAAACTTTTGGGAACCCTTTTGATGGTACAATAGCAAGTAGTCCTCCTTGATATATTACATGCATCCGTTTTCCCCAATTCTCTCCCTCCTTGGCTTGCCCCTCTTTTTGGTCTTTTGCCAATTGCCCTCTGGCAAGAAAAAAGCTGGAGCCTTTATGAAAGAGACAAACAGATTCTGTTCCTCTTTTTCTTCCCCCAAACCCCAAGAAGGCAGAAAAAATATATATTAAACAAACCCCACAAAAAGCAAAAGAAAATATAACCGAAAAGAGGCCAGAAACGCCAATTCCCAGAAACGCCAAAAGCATTCTAACTCTCTGCTCTCTGTTCTCTCTCTCTCTCTCTGTGTACTCTGTTTTTTTTTTTTTGGTTTGGTTTCTGTGACACCCGCACGCACACCCAACCCACACGAGCGGTTCTCGATCTCCATGCACACAAACGATTCCCACCCCCACACTTTCCTCTATATCTTCCCCTCGAATCATCTCTCCTTCCTCTCTCACTCGCCTTCTTCCATTTTCAAATTTCCTCCTTCCCTTCACCCTGCAAATGCTACCCTGTTGCTTCTAAGTTCCGATCCTTCCTCCTCTGTTTTGCTATCCCCATTTACCCTTCTTCGCTTTCAAAATTTTCTTTTGGTGATCTGGGAACTGGGAAAATGAGTCCCCAGCAGCAACAACTGCCCAGAAACATTCAAACCATTGCTGGGTTTCGCGTATTTCATCATAAAGGAGCGAACTTTCCGCCTCTTTCGTCTCCTTCCCCTGTTCCTCAGCTTTCTCTTCCCAGAGCTGAAATGGTGGTTCAGATTCCCACCGAGGGCAGTTCGGCGCTGGTTATGGGTCAGAACAAGCGGCCGTTCTGGAGCCTTTCTCTGGACTTAAACGAAAACGATGAAGAAGAAGGAGGAGAAGGAGAAGGAGAAGAAGAAGAAGCAGGGGAAGCAGAGCATTACTCTGTTCCCGGCAGAAATGGCAGCCGGAAGAAGCTCTGTGCTAGAGGACACTGGCGACCCGCTGAAGACTCCAAGCTCAAAGAGCTCGTCTCTCAGTACGGCCCTCAGAACTGGAACTTGATCGCTGAGCATCTCCAAGGAAGATCAGGTAATCCAATCTAACTGACCAAGTGGAGAAAAGGGGGGAAAATACGGAACAAGTAAACCGCTTTTGTTGATTCAGTTTCATTTTTTTAAACTTGGCAGGGAAGAGTTGCAGGCTGCGGTGGTTCAACCAGCTTGACCCAAGAATAAACCGGAGGGCATTCAGCGAAGAGGAAGAAGACCGCCTTCTGGCTGCTCACCGCGTGTACGGAAACAAATGGGCGATGATCGCCAGGCTGTTCCCAGGGAGGACCGACAATGCCGTCAAGAACCACTGGCACGTCATCATGGCCAGACGGCAGCGCGAGCAATCCAACGTCTACCGCCGGCGAAAGCCAGTTTCTCCTCCTCCTCCTTCTTCCTCTGTTTCCCCTGTTTCTTCCCCTGCTTCCCAATCTCATCAGTTACCGATCCCAAACAAAAGATTCACCACCGTTCACCAAAACGGCAGCGAATCGACGACGACGAGCGGCGATCGATCCACTTGTACCACCGATCTATCCCTCACACCTTCCTCCAACAAGAGAGCGACTCCTCACTTACCCTTCTCCAGGTTCAGCCCACCGGCGAAACAACAAATGGGTAATTTAGTAATTCCCTTTTTCAAGTGTTTCGTTCTGGTTATTTCTCCCCCTTTCTAACCATAGCGATTTCGATCAACGCGCAATGTTAGCAACTCTGCCAAAATAATTGTGGTTTGACTTT